GCTAGATTTGATCCTCAGCACCACATAAAAATAAAATAAAGATGTTGTGTCCACCGAAAACTGAAAAATAAATATTAAAAAAATAGTATTTACATGTAAAAAAACTCAATGGCTAACATTTGCTTTAAAATATTTCAGAACTATTTTGTGGTATAGATAAATAAGATTGGGAAATGTTGAAGAGTTGAAGCTGGCTTGGGTTACATGAGTGCATTAGACTATTCTCTCCTTTATATGATTGAAACCTTCATTAACAAGCAGTAAAAATAACTGTTTCTATTAAATAGACTTGCAGAGAGAGGGAGACAGTAAAATGTAGTGATTAAGAGTTCTGGCCGGGCACAGTGGTGCATGCCTGTCATCCCAGCGGCTTGGGAGGCTTAGACAGGAAGATCATGAATTCAAAGCCAGCCTCAGCAAAATTTGAGGTGCTAAACAACTCAGTGAGACTCTGTCTCTAAACAAAACAAAACAAAAGAATAGTGGCTCACTGGTCGAGTGCCTCTGAGTTCAATTCCTGGTATCCCCCCAACCAAAAAAAAAGAGTTCTGGGCCAGACACAACAGTGATATACTCTATATTAGTCACTTCACCTGCCCTAGCTTTACAGTATTTCTGATAATTGTTAATGGTAATGGTTTACAATTTTCTGGTTCCGATGCTCTTTCTGTCACTCATTGCTGTTGAACCTCGGCTGAATGACTTCCCCTCTCTGAACCTCTGTAACTCAGCTGCAAAACAGGGAAAATCATGATTCCAACCTGAGTTATTTGGAGGACTGGACAGCAGGAAGAATGGACAGGACCCAGCACAATGCCCCGCACATAATAAGCACTCAATAAATACTTTGGTGGAGGAGCACAGGTTTAGTAATCAGGCTATCTTGGACGTGAACCCTAGCCTCTTTCTGTCACTTGTGATTGTGTGACTTCTGCCAAGCCAATTAACTCTCTGTACCTCATTTCCTCCTGTGGGACAGGGGAACAAAGATCATAATACCTCCCCCACAGGGCTGTTGTGAGGATTAAATGACAAGACATGTTTTGATGCCCAGCGCGGCCCACGCGGGCACTTGCCTGCCTCACCCCTGGACTCTCAGCAGCGCCAGCCTTGCTGTGCCCAGGCTGGAGTCGATCCCACTGTCCATTTGCTCGGCACCTGGGCTGCCAAGTGTGGCTGGAGAAAGTCAACAGGAGCAGGTGAATGGCCCCTTGCAAATGACAGATCTGCCGGGTCAAAGCAAGGATCTTCTGCTCCTGCCGGGCCTCCACCTTCCCCAGGGCTCTCCCTCCTGCGTCCCACGCTGGAGGGTCCCAGCCTTCTCCACCACCCACTCCTGCTGCTGAGCCAGGAGTTGACCTCAGTCACCTTCCTTGCACCTCCCAGCTCTGACCTCCCTTCCCTCCTTTCCTCTCACCCATCACCCCAAAGGTGGGAGTGGCCCTGTCCTTCCCAAGCCTTGAGAATGGACTCCATCCCTCCCAGCCCTGTCTATCGAACTTTCTCTGCGTGGTCTGTACCGCCTCAAAAAATCTTGCTCAAATGCTCAGTCTCTTCCGAATCTCAGGTTATTTATGGGAAAAGTGTGCAGGACCTCAGGAAGGAGGGAGAACCAGCCAGTCAGTCAGTCACAAGGGCCCAAGTGGCCAACCTCAGGAAAGGAAAGAGAGGAGCGGGAAGAGCCCGGAGAAGGTGGAGGGCCGGCGGGGGCAAAGGTCCTAGCTCTGTCCCTGCACTCTCACCCATCCCCTCATTGAAGAACCCCCGGTGGATAGAGACCGTTTTTGCTCTTAGTCTTCAAAGTCTGAGGGACAGTGGAACTCACAGGCAGAAACTGGAAACTGGCTGGGCATGCAGCGGAGGGTGGGGAACCCTGAAGGGACTCTCAGCTTCCTGCTAGGTGCAGATGGGTGGCTGGTAGTGTTGCCCACTGAGAAATGACGCAAGAAAAGCGGAAGGAGGAGGTAGGCTGGGGAAGGTGCTGTGCTATGTGGGGGATGTGAGTTTTAGGTGCTGAGGGAGTATCCCGTAGGAATGGCCAACAAATCTGCACTTAAGGGGAGAAAAGAAGTCTGCCCTGAAATCAGGGGTCTGAGGCTCGCTGGCACACAGGCATTGGAATCATGAATATTTGCAGATAACAAAAGTCACGCAGTATCCGTGGATGAGGGCGGATACTGCGTGACTTTTGTTATCTCACATCTTAGTCAAGAGGTGGGCAGTTACCAGTTGGATAAATTGGCAGTAAAATGGTGGCATCAACAATCCAGGGACTTTTTATAGTTCCCCTCTGTCATCTCTGAGAGTTGACATCTTCCTCAGACTTTACACCTCATGGTTGCAAAATGGCTGCCCGCCCTCCAGGACCCTGTTCAAAGGCATTAATGAGCCCGGTGCAGTGGTGCACACCTGTAAATCTCAGTGGCTCAGGAGGCTGAGGCAGGAGAATCACGAGTTCAAAGCCAGCCTCAGCAAAAGTGAGGAGCTAAGCAATTCAGCCAGACCCTATCTTTAAATAAAAGACAAAATAGGGCTGGGGATGTGGTTCAGGGGTCAAGGGCCCCTGAATTCAATCCCAGGTACTCCCCCCACCCCGCAAAAAAGCATTAATGAGCTTTCTTCTTTCATTTTTTGGGAGGAGGGTATTAGGGATTGAACTCAGGGGTGTTTAACCCCTGAGCCACATCCCTAGCCCTTTTTATATTTTATTTAGAGACAGGGTCTTGCTGAGTTGCTTAGAGCCATGCTAATTTGCTGAGGCTGGTTTTGAACTCACAATCCTTCTGCCTCAGCCTCCCCAGCCACTGGGATTACAGGTATGTGCCACCATACCTTGTTTGAATATTAATTTTTATCCGTTTGTTTATCTGTTTGTTTGTGGTGCTGGGGATTGAACCCAGGGCGTTGTGCATGCAAGGCAAGCACTCTACCAACTGAGCTCTATGCTCAGCCCTATTAATTGTTATCAAGGAGGAAACAATTTAATTTTAGCCAGCAGGCTTCTCCTTGGGTCTCATTGGCCTTAACTACCTCCTTAGGCAAAAGAGAGTGGAATTAACCATGTGAGGGTTACAGTCTTTGTGCCTTATCCTGGGTGGCAGCGGGAAGTCCACCTTCCTGGGGCACAGTGCTGCCAGTGTCCGAACAATTCTGAGGGCTGTGAGCAGGGAGGAAGCGATGGTCTCTTCTCAATCTTCGTCTTCTTCCCACCCCTGGCTGGCTGGCGGTGTCACCTTGCCACAATCAAGCAGAGACATGAGGAGCTCGGGCTCCAGAGCCACCTCTTACTCACTGTGTGACCTTACACTGTGGGTATACCTCTCTGTGCTTGAGTGTCCCCCCCGTGGAGTGGGGATATGGTGGTTATATTGCGGGTTAGTGAGATGATGAAATGAAATGACACCTCAGGGTGCTCGGCACAGAGCCAGGCGCATTAAGTGATCACATACAACCAGCCATTAGTGCCTGGTTGGAGGGGGACCCCATCCTCAAATTTGCCCTGTTCTGGTTCCTCTTCTCCTCCTCTCTCTTTCCTTTCCCGGGGTTGGCCGCTCAGCCCTTGTGACTGACCTGCTAGTTCTTTCTTGGGCCCAGGTTGCCCTCTTTCTGGAGTCCGGCACACTTTCCCCACGTGTGGCATGACCTCCTAGACTCGACCTGGGGCCGGAGGCCGCTGCTTCCAGTCTTCTGCCTGGCACCTTAGGCTGGGTGACCCCAAGGTTCGTACATGAAATCCTACCTTACAAATAGCCATCGGGCTGGGCTGAGGCAGGAGGATGGCGAGTTCAAAGCCAGCCTCAGCAATTTAGCGAGGCCCTGTAGCAACTCAATGAGACCCTGTCTCTAAATAAAATATCAAAAAGGGCTGGGGGTGTGGCTCAGTGGTTAAGCACACCTGGTTTCACGCCAGTTCCACAAACCAAAACCAAAACCAACCAAACAAACAAAAAACAGCCATTGGAACTGCTCTAATGACTTCTACCTGCCAACAAAAAAGAATGACCCCACAAAATGAAGAAAAATTTAAGATTTGTGCAGAGAGCCCTGGAGAGCCCCTGGCTAAGGTCTAAAGTCCAGGCAGTGCTCTGGAGAGTTATTCCTATCCATCTCCCTTCCCGGACTGTGGGCATCTCAGGGAGGGGAATGGATCGCTCATCCATCTGTCACCTTGGTGTCTGCTGTATACTTAATACTCAGAAAAATGTCTGATGAATGAATAAGACTCCTGGCCTCTCCTCTTCCTTCCTAAGTGACTTTTCTTTTTCTTTATTTCCTTTTTTTTTTTTTTTTTTTTTGTACAAGGAGTTGAACCTAAGGGATGCTTAGCCACTGAGCCATGTCCCAGCCCTTTTTATTTTTTATTTTGAGACGGGGTCTTGCGAAGTTGCTTAGGGCCTCGCTAAGTTGCTGAGGCTGGCCTGGAACTTGCAATCCTCCTTTCTCAGCCTCCCAAATTGTTGGCATTACAGGCGTGCAACAGCGTGCCAGGTTTCTAAGTGACTTTGAACAAGGTCCTTTTCTCCTCGTGACCCATATCAAAAATCTGTCAAATGAGGGACTGGGCTATGTCTCAAGGGAGGCCGTTCAGCATTAAGTGCTATAAGTAGACAAGGGTAAATAGGCAAGGGATGGAGGGACAGGCTGCCTGGGGTGGGGTCTCCAGGGTCCCCAGGTCTGAGGCAGAGGGGAGCTGCCCTGATCCCTCATCTTGGGAGCTGCTGTAGGAGAGGGGTTGGAATTGATCAGGCTGGTGAGGGGGCACTATTAACTCCTGGCATCTCAGTGGCCCCCTCTCTGGGTCCCATTCCCTGGCTCTGCACCCTGGCCCTGCACCCTGGCCAGGGGAAGACCAATTTCTGCAGGAAACTCTGGGTACCAAACCCTCCCCTAAGCCAGCTTCCGAACAGGCTGTTCTTGTTTACGCCCCCCGTCCCAGGGGAACAGCGATTGCTCATCCTCGCCTGCGATTTGAGAGTGCCAAGTCTTTCAGGCCTGGAGGAAACACAAGCCCGGCTGGCCACTTGGCATCGGAATGCTCAGCTGGTCCCCTCCCGGGGCTCATGTGACTGCAGCCCAGCTATAAATACCAGAGGGGCCTCAGCCCAAGACAGAATTCGGGCTCCCGGAGGAGACAGCAGAGAGGATCTGAGCAAGTGTTGGTGGCAAAGGTCTGCAAAGCAGGTGGTGGGGGAGGCGGCCTCGCTCCAGCGATATGGATTATAAATCAAGCCTGATCCAGGATGGGAACCCCATGGAGAACCTGGAGAAGCAGCTGATCTGCCCCATCTGCCTGGAGATGTTTACCAAGCCGGTGGTGATCCTGCCCTGCCAGCACAACCTCTGCCGGAAGTGCGCCAGTGACGTCTTCCAGGTCGGTGCCGGCATGGCCTGTCCAGGGGCCCAGTGGTTCCTTCCCGCTGAGCCTAGGACCCTTCCAATCAGGACTGGCTCTTTCCCTCCAAAGGGAGGCCTGACGGTGGCTCAGGACTGGGCGGAGGGGGCTGGGGTGGTTCTGCGCCCCAGTCCTTCTCCATGGCGCATGTCCCCTCCCGCCCTGCCTGCCCTCCCTGTTCACTCTGTGGTCAAGAGTCAAATGCCTGGAGCGATAAGTGGGGGAGGCAGGCGGAGAGGAGAGAGAAACCAGACCCCTGGGGCCGAGCCAGCCTTGGTGGCAGGGCCAGGAGCTCTGGGAGGAGGGTGGCAGGCGGCCCTGGGCAGCAGGGGCATCTTCCCTTTGAGGGTGTTTGCTTCAATATGGGGGCAGGAGGGGCTCCATCTCCCTGAGAAAGACAAGTGGAGGTCCTGGCTGGGAGGCGGGAGGCGGGGTTCCCAGGGACACTGCAGGAAATGCTCTGTCCCTCTGGCTTCTGTGAAGTGCCAGTCCCAGGACCTTGCTGTAATCATAAGGCCCCTCTCAGGGGCGGGCAAACGGAGGCACAGAGAGATAAGGCTGCTTGCCCAACGACACTCAGAATAAAGGTGACTTGAACCCAGGTCTGCGGGCTCTGGTTTGACCGGAGCCTTGGAGTGAGCAGGGGATGGCTAGGAGACTGGGACAGGAAGCGACCGAGGAGGCACACGCCTCACCTCTGCCTTGGTCACCTGCAGGCTGCAAATCCCTACTGGACCAACCGGAGCAGCTCGCTGTCCATGTCTGGTGGCCGTTTCCGCTGCCCCTCCTGTCGCCACGAGGTGATCATGGATCGTCATGGGGTGTACGGTCTGCAGAGGAACCTGCTGGTGGAGAACATCATCGACATCTACAAGCAGGAGTGCTCCAGGTCAGCACAGGCCCCTGCCACCTCCCAGGCACTGTCCTCCTGCTGTGTCTGCTCAGCATGGCATCCCTGGGCAAGGACGCAGTTCAGAGCCACCGTCTTCCTCAGGCAGGAGTGGCTCCCGTGGCTGTTCAGCTCACCCGGTGCATGGGAAGGGGGTTAGCCTGCCCTCTTGGGGGACACTGAGACAGAGATGGGGGGAAAGATGAGGTGTAAGGAAAGGAGACGGGAGCCAGTGGCGTGGCCCCGGGTGGCAGAGAAAGTGCCCCGTGAGAACACAGCCAGGCTGCGGATAATAGCAACGGTCCTTCCCCCCACCTACAGCTGGGCCCTGGGATGCTTCCTCTAGGTGCCCCATGGCCCGGGCCTGACTTTTGTTAGCCCCATTCCACCGGCATCCGAGGCCCACAGAGGCAAAGTCAGTACCCAGCATTCCCGGCCGCAAAGCAAGACGAGGATCTGGGTTGACCCAGCCAACACAGCAGCTCCATCTCAGGCAGAACTTGAATGGTGGGGTTGTGCAGCGTCATGTCGGGCCTCCAAGTGGACAGAGACAGAGCCGTGCGGGAGGGAGAGCTTTATAAAAAAGGACGCCCTGGTGGGGGCATAGCTCAGTGGTGGAGCGTGTGTTTGGCCAGCACAAGGCGGGGTTCAAGCCCCAGCACCAGAGGAAAAAAGGTCAGGGCGTTCTGATGAGATGGTGCTCCAGAACCTTCACCAAGCCCCTGGAGCACCCTGCCCGAGGGAGACAGACCAGGCCCAGTGACCAAAACTCAGGCCTGCAGGATGGTATTTGCTCTTCTGATTCTGTTACTAAAGCATTGGGACCTCTTGGTCGAGGATTTGGGGCTTCGTTTTCTTTCCCAGTCTTCAAAAGGGGATGGACAGCAAGATCAGTTACTGTAGCGGGGCGAAGTGGTTCACATCTGTAATCCTAGAGACTCAGGAGGCTGAGGCAGGAGGATTGCAAGTTCAAGGCCAGCCTCAGCAATTTAGCAAGGCCCTAAGCATCTTAGTAAAACCCTGCCTCAAAACAAAAAATAAAAAAGGCCAGGGATGTGGCTCAGTGGTAAAGTGCCTATGGGTTCAATCCCCAGTACAAAAAAAAAAAAAAAATCTGTTATTGTGACTGTCAAATAAGATATGGATAGAAATGTTTAAAATCAAATATTTATTGAGAACTATGTGCAGGCATGTACTCAATGCTTTTTATACATTTTTCCTGTGTAATCCTCACAGTAATCCTCTAAGGCTTTCTTATTTCCATGAAGAAATAGATGGTCAGAGAGGTTCAGAGGTTTGTCCAAGGTTACACAGCCAGCAAGTGTTAAATCTATGACTGATTCCACAATCTGAATATTCTTAACTCTTGGGCTATCTTGCCCCTGGTATTCCTAGAACTCAGTGCTACAAAAATATAAACATATTGTTGATCAAAGAAATTTAAATACAATTGATATTGTACCAGATAATCAGCCCACCCAGCATGGACCTAAGAGCATGTCCTGTTCGAACCCTTTGAAGCCTTTCCGAAGAGTCAAGTGGTAATGACGGCTGCCCTATGCTGAGGGTCTGTCCCATGCCCTGCGCCTCACATTCTTTACAAACAACTTCCGCCCCAATTGCAGTAGTCCTGAGAGAGATTGAGGCTCTGAGAGGTGAGCTCATTTGTCCAAACCCACAATGAATAAGGGCAGAACAATCTGATTTGAACCCAGATGTTGAAACCTGAGCACGGCAGGGTGGGTCCCCGGGAGCGAGGTGAGCTCAGGCCACTGACCCTCAGGATCTTGCCGCACCTCTGCACGGCCATCCGGGGCTCTTTCCCCAGGGCATGGGGACAGGTGGTCTCCTGCCAGCATGGAGACCCTGGGCTCAAGGATGCAAAAAGACAAGTCTGGAAAGACACTTAGTCCAGAACTGGAGGGGACAATAAAGCCTGGGTGTGACCAGTCACGCAAGGCTGTTGGAAGGCGAGGCGTTGACACGGATAGAGGACAGTCATCATTTGACGTGGATGAGATCCCGTGGTGTCAGGGACTGGGAACCGTTCAGATGAGAGTATGGTCTAGCCGGAGGGGTGAGGCCTACCCCAACCTGGGTTGGGAAGTGGCTGATTTTATCCTGTGAGAAGGACACAGAACGTGCCGGAAGCCCTAAGTGGAGAATGCAGTGAAGGTGCCCTAAGCATGAGTGTAGAGGAGAGAGAAAGCCGCAGCTCTGGACCCAGGGGAGACTCCCTGGGAGTCAGTCGAGGCTGGCGCTGGGCCATCCCTGTGCTCGGCCATCCCTGTGCTAGATGTGTGACTCAGCAGCGCGTGGCCTCCTCTCTGAGCCTCAGGTGTCGCCGGGCTGTGCTTATTGGTTTATTCTTTCTACCTGGATTGAATGACATCTCCTCGCGCCCGGTACTGTCCACTGTAGATTCAGGGACGAGGTGACCAGGCGAGCGTCTCAGCTTGGGTGGAGGATACAGTCTGGAGGATTAAATATAGAATTACATGAGGCCATCGGTATAAATTGCTTAGTTCAGAGCCCAGTCTGCAGCAACCAAGAGCTGCGGTGACTATAATTAGAGCAAAGCGCTCTAGCCTCCCTTGCCCTGCCGGGCTGGGTGACCTTGGGCAAGTCAGTTCACTGGGGAGGGAGGGTTCCTATTTTCCAAACCACCTCCAAGTCCACTCTCTGGAATTCTAAGACCCGTCCCGTGTCCTCTGCATTGGCAGAGCCCCAAGCCAAGCCCAGCGGTCGAGTCCTGGGATGTGGGGATAGGTTTGGTGACATTGTTTCCCTGGTTCTGGTCCTCCTGTGATTGAAGCCGGGGGAGGGGCTCGGGACTCCCCCTGACCTGTGACTGTCCCTTACCTTAGCCGGCCCCTGCAGAAGGGCAGCCACCCGATGTGCAAAGAGCACGAAGATGAGAAAATCAACATCTACTGCCTCACGTGCGAGGTGCCCACGTGTTCCATGTGCAAGGTGTTCGGAGCCCACCAGGCCTGCGAGGTGGCCCCGCTGCAGAGTGTCTTCCAGGGACAGAAGGTACCAGCTTGGGCTGCTTCTACCCCTAGATGATTCAGGAGGTGGATTTGATCCTCGTTGATTTGCTGAGCAGGCCTTTTAGGAATAGTCCCTCGGGAGGGACTTCCCAGGCCGCAGGGACATCAGCCCTTGCCTTCCTGGGGGAGGTGGCTGAGCTCATGGGTTATACTTAGAACCATCTGAGAGCCCCTGGGTGTGGCCACAGGGGAGAAGCCAGACCCCACCGCCAGGACACCAGGCCCTCTCAGGCCACGGCTTCTCCATCCTGTGTACTTTGGGCCCCAGATATCTCCACCTGAGCCTCAGAGCTCCAGACTCCATACTCGCCTGCAACGGGAGGCAGCCTAGAGCCCTCTCCTGGGGCCCCTGACCTCACCATCCTGTCTACCTGGTAAACTCTAGCTCCCCTTTCTGTACTCTTTCTTCCCTACTTTCTATTCCTCTCTTGATCTCTTTCTTCTAGAACTTTCCAACTCTATTTCCTTTCTCAGTTACCAGCCCCTCCTCTGCTAGTACCTGGCTGTGTGTTTTGAGCAGCTCAGCTGCCTTCTCTGGGCCTCATCTGTAAAATAAGGGATGCATATCGCTCTGATATTCTCTGCTATGGACCTGAGTGACACCCCAGTAAAGCTGGAGACCCTTTCTAGCAGAGAGGGGACTGAGGGCACCATGTCTCTGCCATGTTTGAGCATGCCAGCCTGAGTCTGTTTCTGTGTCTCTCCTCCTGACTCCCATCCACTCCTCCCCTCTAGACTGAACTGAGTAACTGTGTCTCCATGCTGGTGGCGGGGAATGACCGTGTGCAGACCATCATCACTCAGCTGGAGGACTCCTGTCGAGTGACCAAGGTGAGGGGACGCAAGAGCCCTGCCTGGAGGTTTGAAGTCCCATAAAACTGGTCTCTGGGAAAGACTCACTCCTGGGTTGTGAATGAAGGCTGCGGCTTGGAGCCCCTGGTAATCCACAGGGATGGCCGGGGAGGGACGAAGCCGTCCATCTGCTCACTTAACAAATGTCTTGTGGGCACAGCTGTGTCGGGCATGACCAAGACGGACCTGGTCCCTGACCAGGGAGTGCCCGCCAATCATCTCCAGCATTTATTCAGCACTAGTAATTTTCAGAACACTCTTCTCCAGTGTGCTGTGGAGCCCAAAGCTCCTCCAACGTTAGAGGCACATGACCCCCCACCCTGGGGGTTCTGACTCGGTAGGTCTGGGAGGAAGCATGCAACTCTGCATTTCTGACAAGCTCCCAGGGTTTGCCCAAGCTGCAGGCCCACGGGCCACACTCTGAGTGGCAAGACTGCAGAGGGCAGAAGGGGACTTTCCCAGCCCTGCAGAAGCATCCAGGATTCCTGTCTCCCCTTGAGGCGGGGAGCTGGAGATGAGCTGGGGAAGTAACTGCCACGGGTGAAAAGTTGAGGGCAGGGTGGGTTCAAAGGAAGGAGGGGGACAAGGTGATGGCCTCTGAGAGTTCCCCATCTGAGAGGCACTTCTGTCATATCCACTGTACAGAGCAGGTAGCTCAGGTGTGGCATAAGGGAGCTTGCCCCTCCGCTGGAGCCGCTACAGGGAGCTGACTTCCACCTCACCTGGGAGTGAGGCGGACCTTCCTGCCTCCAGCCTCAGCCTCAACCCCACGTGGAGGGAAATGTGCAACTTGGGGCCTGGAGAGGGGTCACCTTCTGTGACCTGAGTCTCCAGCTGTTCTCCACGATACCAGCTTCCACACGTCACTGAGCGTCTCTGAGACCTCACGGGTGCTTTCCTCCTCACCGGCCTTCACTTTGCCTTCTGCCAAATGGGGATGTCATAAGGCCTCCTCCAAAGCTACGTAGTAGGGACCCCACGGGATGTGACCATGGGATTTCTGTCCCCAGGAGAACAGTCACCAGGTGAAGGAAGAGCTGAGTCAGAAGTTCGACACCCTGTACGCCATCCTGGACGAGAAGAAGAGCGAGTTACTGCAGCGGATCACGCGGGAGCAGGAGGAGAAGCTGGGCTTCATCGAGGCTCTCATCCAGCAGTACCGTGGGCAGCTCGACAAGTCCACCAAGCTGGTGGAGACAGCCATCCAGTCCCTGGACGAGCCTGGCGGGGCCACGTTCCTCCTGGTGAGTGGGACTCAGAAGGCCTGGCAGCTTCAGGGTGTGCCCTTCCACTGCCCACCCATGGCCCCTTGGACAAGTCATTTAAACCCGAGAGGCTCAGTTTTCTCATCTGTGAAATGGGCATGTAACAAACTACCTTCCTCTTACTGATTTAATGAGGATCAAATAAGGGGATGGTTGTGAATTGACTTTGGAAGCTCCAACATACAGGGGTCCACAGAGAGGCAATTAATTGAGCACCTAGTATAGCACAGGCGCTGAGGTGGATACAGAGGTGAACAAGGCAGAGCCTGGAAGAGCTTGTGGGGAGATGACAGAAAAGGCTCGGCTGTAAGACGTCAGAGTTCAGTTCACTAAAAACTTCCTCAGCTCCTGTGGGCTAGGCTTTGCACCTGAAGAGGTGATTAGGCTGCTTCTGACTGGGAGGCTTCGGGCTGTAGGAGGACTTGGATTGATACCTGGAGAATCCTGGCCTCCTACCAGGCCAATGGGAGGGTCCAAGTGTGGTGACCAAGACACGTGCAGACCATGGACAGAGGGGGAAAATCCAAGTTCCGTTCAGCTCAGGTGGGGTGTGGGTCACCACTGGGCTAGGGACAGGCACCCAGTGTCCATCTGCAGCACCCAGTCACTGTCTCTGCACATTTCCTGGGGTTACCCCTGGCTGTAGTCCTAACCTCTGTCCTCTCTTCCCCCACAGAGTGCCAGGGAACTCATCAAAAGGTCAGTGTCCTCCAGGGCCTCTGGCCTAATCGCCCAACGCCCAGCAGGGCCCCTGATGCCTGTCCAGTGGGACCCCTGAGCTTTAGGCCCACGGGGAGGGGACCCTGGATGGCTTTTCTGGCCTGTGCATCCCTACTTCCTTGGACCATCCTTCTGCTTGAGGCTGGAGAGGAAACACTCTGCCCCCCGCCTCCGGGAGTCTCTCCCTGAAGCTAGGGCTTGGGCCTGGCCCAGAGCTGGGGCTGCCCCATGAGACCCCAGAGCTGAGCCTCGTGGTGTCACCCTTCTCTCTCCCTGCAGCATCGTGGAAGCTTCCAAGGGCTGCCAGCTGGGCAAGATAGAGCAGGGCTTTGAAAACATGGACTACTTTACTTTGGACCTAGAATACATAGCGGACACCCTCAGGGCCATCGACTTTGGGACAGGTAAAGGAGGCCATGGTGCCACTTGTCTGTCTGCTTGGCCCCGAAGGCCAGCATCTCTCCCACCAAGCCCCATGGGGAGGCCGCTACACTAACAACCCCACCAGCTGCCAAGCCAAACTCATGCGGCCAACCTCTAGATGAGCCCAGAGCCCAGTACAGTGCCTGGAGCATAATTGTGGAGCAATAAGTTATTTATGGATCCAAAGACGGAGTGTAAGGAATCAGACCTGAGTTTAAATCCCAATTCTGCCATTTGTGTGTTATCTGTGTGACCTTTGCAAGGTCCCCCTCCACCTCTTTGAGCTTCATTTTATAACTTCAAGAACTAGGTTGAAGTTGGGTTTGGTGACGCACACCTCTAATCCCCGCTGCTTGGGAGGCTGAGGCAGGAGGATTGCAAGTTCAAGGCCAACCTCAGCAACTTAACAAGACCCTGTCTCAAAAAATAAAAAGGGCCGGGGACATGGCTCAGTGGTTGAGCACCCCTGGGTTCTATCCCCAGTAACAAAAAAAGGTCCTAAAACTGAAATAGCAATGGATGAGTCCATCCCTTACTGTAAGATCACCCCCTTGCTCCATGGCTTCCCTCCCTAAACTGAGGTATTCAAGAGTGGGTGCTGCCTGTGGACATGACCTTCCTCAGTTGCATCGTAGGTAAAATGGAAGGATACCATCAATAGCTACCAACGGCTGCCAATTACTGAGCCCGTTGATTAGGCTTTCCCTGTCCCGCGCACTAAGCCCTTAACATCAATCCTATCCTTCAGTACAACTTTATGAGATAGGTTCTATTATCATTTCTATTTTGTAGTTGAGGAAACTAAAGCTCAGAGAGGATAAGCAAGTAGTTCAAGGCCACACAGCTAGTGAGTAGTCCACTCCAATCCCACTGTGGGTCATCTGGCTCACAGGACCCTGCTGAGGGTATATGACATGCCGTGTATACAGCACTTAGCACAACACTTGGCAAACAGTGAGTCCCCAGTGAAAGCTAAAGTGAGAAGTGGTTGTGATAATGATTAAACAACAACAAACTCCCTGGGTTACGCACAGAACCCAGGCCCTTGGCTAGAATGCTGACTGTGACTTTGGAGGCATTTTGGCTTGTTTTGTTTTTGTTTTTTCGGTACCAGGGACTGAGCCCACGGGTACTTAACCACTGAGCCACATCCCCAGATTTTTTTTAAAATTTATTTATTATAATTTTTGGTGTTGGGAATCAAACCCAGGGCCTTGTGCATGCAAGGCAAGTGCTCTACCAACTGAGCTATACCCCCAGCCCTATTTATTTTATTTTGAGAAAGGGTCTCACTAAGTTGCTTAGGGCCTCACTCAATTGCTAAGTCTGGCCTCAAACTTGCAATCCTCCTGTCTCAGCCTCCAGAGTTGCTGGTATTACAGGTGTGCTCCCCACACCGGGCTTTTGGAGGCATTTTGGAGACACTTGACAAACCCTGACTACACAACCCCTCAGGGGTCCCACAGGATTAAGGAGGTGTCTTGGGAGAGGGGTGGGGAAGGGGCATGCTCCCTGTTTGGAGAGCTCGAAGGAGACGCCCCAGGATGAGAAAATGGGGTCACAGCTTGCAGCTCGGTCACTGTCCCTCTGGTACTCAGTGTAAGGAGCAGAGATGGCCCCAGACCTGTTCCTTCCCATATCCTCCCCTCTGTGGGCTGAGGAATGAGGAAGATGGGTCAGGTGCTGAGCAAGCCGATTTCAAAAGCAGAGTGAAATGATCTTCTAGGACTCTGACCTGAGAAGGAGGAGTCTGTCCTGTGCTCCCCAGGCAACCTCTGTCTGTCTGAGATGTGCAGAGGCAGGAGGGCTGCTCCCTAGGTCCCCCCCAGGTCTCTGTGGCCACAGGCCAACAGGGATAAACCCTGCGGCTGGAGGGAGAAAAGAGTCCCGAGGAGGCAGGAACATGGAGGCCTGCCTTGGGACGGGTTTCTGTGGCCTCCCGGTGGCCCTTGGAGCCAGGCAGGGGGAGAGGGCTCGCAGCCTGGCTGTTCCTGGCAGCTGGTCTGGGGAAGCAGCACCATCCTAACACAGCTGGTCTCTGTCACAGATGAGGATGAGGAAGAGTTCATTGAGGAAGAGGAAGATCAGGGAGAGGAAGTGTCCACAGAAGGGAAGGAGGAAGGTAAGAACTCCAAGGGTCTCCATCCATTCCTTCCGTACAACGCGAGGTACCTACCGTTTGCACAGTGCCATGCCGGCATTGGGGGTGACACTTTGTCCTATTCCCAGTGTGTGTCTTAAACCCATGAAGGGCAAGGTTATTACTCTTTACCTTTAATGAGAAAACCAGCTACATGCAGTGGCGCATGCCTGTAATCCCAGAGACTCAGGAGGCTGAGGCAGGAGGATCTCAATTCTGAGGCCAGCCTTAGTAATTTGCAATTTGGTGAGGCCCTCAGCAAATTAGCAAGACTCTGCCTCAAAATAAAAAAATTTTAAAAAATTAAACAAGGGCTGGAGATGTAGCTCAGTGGTAGAGTAACCCTGGGTTCAATTCCCAGTGCCAACAAACAAACCCCCAAATTATTAATCATAGAAAGTTTCCGTTTCATATGTAGGTGACCCTCCTCAGTGGAAAGAAATTCTACACAGAAGGGGAAAAGACAGGCCACTGAGGGAAAAGACAAGGGGCCTTAAGCCAGGCTAGGTCCACTGAGATGTTTTCATCAGGCAGCAATAGTGTTCAAAGTTTTTGAAAATTCATTACTAACATTTTAAAAATTACAGATGTATTTATTTTATTTTTTGCAATACCTGTGATCAAACAGAAGGCCCCACACATGCTAGGTGAGTGCTCTACCATGGAGCTATCCCCCAGCCCTTCTTAAGTTTTGAGCCAGGGTCTTGCTAAGTTGCTGAGGGTGGCCTTGAATTTGTGATCCTCCAGCCTCAGTCTCCCAAGTTGCGGGGATTACAGGTGTGCGCCACTTCACTGGGCTCCACTTTGGTTTTAAAAGGAAGAGACCAGGAAGGAAATATGGTTTAATGGCTTTATTTCTAAGTCGCTGCTAGGTACTGGGTTCAGTCCTTAGCACCACAAAAAAAAAAAAAAAAAAAAAAGGACTGGGGTTGTGGCTCAGTGGCAGAGCGCTTGCCTAGCATGTGTGAGGCACTGGGTTGAATTCTCAGCACCACATATAAATAAAAAAAGATCCATCAACAACTAAAAAAAATTTTTTTAAATAAAAAAATAAAATAAAGGCATTCTGTCCATCTACAACCACAAAAAAGTTAAAAATAATTGCTATATTTCTAAGTTGCTACATTTCTTAAGCTCTGGGTCTGAATCCCTTTCTGACCAAGTGCTTCTTTTTAAAATTTCAGGACACCAATAAGGAGCTGGATGAGAGACCCTCTGGATGCAGAGAGACTGGGGAGGGGGGGCGGGCCCACCTGCCTTGGTGATAGGCCCGGGAGGGAGGGGTCGGGGCCCAGCTGCAATAGGGAGGTCTTCTCTGCTCAGAGAGCAGGGACTAGAGTAGGACCCCATCACTGTGTCCAGCAGCCACTGAACCAGAATGGGAAACGTGCTTGAAGCCATCACAAAGGACACTTTTCTACGTTGGTGCAAAATGAAATATTTTGTACATTTTTAAAATGTGATTTTTTTTTCTTTTTGTATATACTTGTATATGTATGTCAATTTGGTGCTTTTTGTAAAGGAACTTTTGTATAACGCTTGATTGTCAGAAAGAGGGGGAGAAAGCCAGGCAGATGGAGCCACCCCCTTCCTTCCTTCATGGGGGGGGGGGGCAGGGCAGCACTCAGGGGCCTAGGAAGGGGAAATGTACTGTATCTCAGGTCCCATCCCCGCCGTGGTGGGGGTCTGAGTTCGTGTCCTATGTTGTTTTAATAAATGCACAACGCTCTCTTCCTGTTATTACAAACCATCTGAGTTTTCTTTCATTCAGCCTGTTTTCCCCCAAAAAGGGGGTCTTTTGTGTGGTGGTGGTGGGGGGTCCATCAGTTTGGGCACTCAGGAAACTGGTTGTGAGGATTTGAAATTTGTTTTTACTGGGCAAGGATGGAGGGTCCAGAGTTCAGCTTTCAGCACCTACCTCTTTCCCTCCAGGGCCTATTGTATTTTCACTGGGAAAGGATTTATTTGGGGAAGGATCAAGTTTGGGCTCCTTCCCAGGGATTGTCTTGACACTGGGAAAGCATATATTGAGAAAGGATCAATGTTATCAATGTTTGCCATATTCCTCCCTCTTCCCAGGCCACCGTTTTGGGGGCTGTCATTTCCGAATCCTTCACTGGGGATTGAACCCAGGGACACTGAACCTGCAATCCTCCTGCCTCAACTTCCCAAGTAGCTGGGATTACAAGTGTGTGCCACTATTGCAGAAAGCTCAGTCCTTGTCCCCAATGCCAATCCAATAACAAGGATACAGTTTTGAGAAAAAGGAAAAAGAAGATGTATTTCTTTGCTAGCAAAGCAGAAACACAGGGGACTCCTGTCCCAATGGCTGAGATTCTGCCCTTCAGTATAGGAACAGGGGGTTTTTCAAGAGGTGATTCAGAGAAAATGAGATTAGAGAGGGGAGATCAGGAAGGAGATCAGGGAAAGAAGGGAAGAGAAGTTTGGGAAAAAGAAAAAGTCAAGTGAGTTTCCAAGCAATGAGGGTTATAGTCAAAGCATCAAGTGAACCCCTGTTACACTACCACTCCTAGTTTAAGAAGCATCTTTAAACCAGCATTTCCCAATGCGAAACCATGGAAAACTAGCCCTGAGATGATCCTTACAGAGGAGGTTTGATGTATTGTTGCCCTGGTTCACCAGAAAACAGGCCTGAGAAAAAGCCTGGGTTGTAGCCTGGCTCGGTGGCACACACTGTAATCCCAGTGGCTTAGAAGGCTGAGGCAGGAGGATCGATGGCAAGTTCAAAGCCAGCCTCAGCCACTCAGCAAGGACCTCCACAACTCAGTGTGACCCTGTCTGTAAATAAAATATAAAATAGGGCTAGGAATGTGGCTCAGTGGTGGAGTGTCCCTGAGTTAATTCCCTGGGCACACACACACAAAAAAGGTCTAGATGCTTTAGCTGGTGGTCAAGTCCAAGGGTAGACAGAATAAAGGAAGATGGAAGCAAGGCAGATGGAGAGGCAAAAGCACACCGGCTGCATTACCAAGCTGGCCACAGCTTCACCAAAGCCCTGCTGTGGCTGTCTGAAAGCACCTAGCAGGTCACACAGAAGGCAACAAGTTCCAGCAGTTCCTGGGGGCAGGGAGGAGGGGGGGAGGAGGAGGAGAGGTTTGTGGGCTGACTCCTTCCCATCTCCTGTTTCCTCTCTGAGTTGAAGTTGGCTTCCTGCACTCCCAGGTAGCATCACGTGGCCCCCTAGTGGGCACCTCCATGGTCCAGTTGAGTTGGAACTATAGGGCTCTGCGGAGAGCGCGCTGTACTGTCACCCTCCAGGAACCTGTAACTTCAAGCTTTGTATATACTAGTATATACCCTGCGGAATCTGTCCAGCCTTTTAGACACGCACAACACAATGGCAAGGTAAGGCCGGTTGCAGTCCTGGCTTAAAAGAAGCTGAGACCCTTAAGTGCTGCCTGATCTTGGTCTCATTATTTTTTTGGTGGATGGAATATTTAGCCCAGCAAGAACTAGGGAGTTCTTGGCTCACATGACTCCCCCAGAACTAGCACATGATTGAACTCCCTTTAGGAAAGCCCTAACCCTTCCCACCTCTGCCCACTTCCCTTCCAAGAGTTTTTCCTAAAGCTAACTTGGTCCCTAACTGGGAATTCCAAGGAATCAGATTTTGGTCTCTTTTCTAGACCTTTCTCAATATTTTAATTAAAAAAAAAATGTGTAGCACACACAAAAGTGCATAAAAGTAGTTATAAGGTTTAATGAAGCCCTGCATTACTACCACTCAGGCCAACACAAAGAATACTGCCAGCCCCCAGAACTGTCCTCATGTCTCCCTCCCAATGTAGCTGCTCCTTCTGCCTGAGGTTAGCCAGTGTCTTTTTTCAGGTAATCACTCACTTGCTTTTCTTGATGGTTTTATCTCACAAAGTATCTTCCCACAGAAGACCAAAAGAATTTGAAACCAGAAAGACGAAGCCTTCTGTACCATGAAATCACAAGAATCAGTATCATAACCTGGGTACATTCCGTCTCCAGATGGCCACTCCAGGTTACTGATTACATGGGAAGCAGGCACTTCAGTCTCATATCTTGTCACTTATTGGGGCGGGTGGAGGTCAGGCTAAGCTCTGAAGTCAGTTCCTTTAAATTCCAGGAAAAGCTGAGTGCGCGGGGCTGGCGATGTGGCTCAAGTGTTGGCGCACTTGCCTAGCAAGCGTGAGGCACTGGGTTCAATTCTCAGCACCACATAAAAATAAAATAAAGATATTGTGTCCACCTAAAAAAACTAAAAAAAAAAATATATTAAAAAAAAAAAAAGCTGGGCGCGGTGGCTCACACCTGTAATCCTAGCGATGAGGGAGGCTGAGGCAGGAGGATGGAAAATCCAACGTCAGCCTCGGCAATTCAGTGAGGCCCTGTTTCAAAATAAAAAATAAAAAGGGTTGGGGATGTGGCTCTGTGATAAAGCGCCCCTAGGTTAAATCCCTAGTAGGAAACAAAACCAGACACACTAAGGCTCTTTCTGTCCTGGCAAATTTGAATACTTAAAGCTGGTGATTTCTTTCTTTGTTGCTGTTCTGGTGTTTGGGATTGAATCCAGGACCTCTCCACATGTTCTGCAAGCCCTCCACCTGAGCTTCATCCTAGCTCCTAAAGAAGGGTTCTTTATTATTATTATTATTATTATTTCATTTTTTTTTAGTTGAAGTCGAACATAATCTATTTTATTTATTTATTTTTATGTGGTGCTGAGGATCAAACCCAAGGCCTCGCACGTGCTAGGTGAGCGCTCTACCCCAGAGCCACAATCCCAGCCCCCTAAAGAAGAGTTCTTGATCTACAAACTTCCTTTAAGATCACCTTGCAAGACAGGAAAGCTGGCTTGAGGGGTTTTATGCAATGAATCTCAAATATAGTTCCATAGGCTGCTGCATCAGAATCATCAGGAAAGGTTTCCCCCTCCCTAAACCTTTCATTATGGGAAATTTTTTAAATACTGAAAAGTAGAAAGAATAGTGTACCCCCATGGACCCACCATTTTCTTTTCAATTTTTTTTTCTTTTCTTTTTTGGTACTGGGGACTGAATCCAGGGATGCTTTACCACTGAGCTACATTCCCCAGCCCTTTTTTAAATTTTCAGACAGGGTTCGCTAAGTGGCTGAGGCTGGTCTCAAACTTGCGATTCTTAACATTCCTAATCCTAATCGCTGAATTACCGGCATGCACCACTGTACCGGTCTGAAGTTTTTATTAATGAACTTTTTGGTTAGTTGAACTCTTGCAAATTGATTAAAATGCATTCTGAGGATACGCGGGTGGTGGGTCTGTTGGGTGTGGGAGACTCCTCCTTCTTGGAGAACATCATGGAATCCCTTACCCTCCCCCTCCCCTCCAAAGGGCGCCAAGCCAAGAGCGCCAAATTCAAAGGTTTCCTTGACCAATCGGCATAGGACACTGTGTCCGCTCAGTGATCCCGAGTCACCCTGCCAATCAGCACCTGCCACGTGCTGTAAGCAACTCTTCTTAAGCCAAAGCTTGTAAGCACACTCTCTCTTCCGTGTCCTCTGCTCTCTCCCTCTTCTTTCTTTCCTCTCTCTACCCTTTCTTTATCTTTCTGCGCCCCCCCTCTACCTCTCCTTTGGGCAGCCCCCCAATAAAATCTCTTGGTTGACTCTCCCGTCTCAGGTGAGTCACTTGCCTTTGAGGGACAACCTCGAACTCCATTTCTCCTGTTAAACTCTCACCACAGGGTTCTGACACCATGTGCGCAAACCCAGCAAGCAGTTGATTCTGCAGGGGACACCAGCTGGGTGTCCACATAATTCAACTCTAATACTATCTAACTGGAGGACTTGGTCTCCCCCCACTTTAGGTGTCAGTCATAAGCCCCAGGTTGTTTTACTTGTGATTCTGACCTACTAAATCGGGGTTCCCAAACCCACTCCTTGAGTTTGATCACAATGTTACTTAAAGCTCGATGACAATACAATCACGAAGACAAAGTCTTGGGAAAAAAAGAAAGGTTTATTGTATTGCTGGCAAAGGAGAAACACTGGGGACTCCAGTCCCAAAGGCTGTGATTCCGCCTATCTACAGGCTTTTATAGAAGTGATTCAGAGAAAGTGAGATTGGGGAGGAGAGATTAGGGAGGAGAAGATCAGGGCAGTTATCTGTCCTTGAGCCCATACCCCCGACAGGAACGAAGCAACACAGACTTTGGGGATGGCACCAGAAGATCGCAGAAATGACTACCTCCCCAATTAACAATGGAATTATAACTCCCAACAGAGAACACGTGGAATGTAGGCTTTGAATCCCAAAAATTCACGCCTCTGGGACGGGAGTCCCCTGTGCTTCCCTATTACTAACGAAGCAATAAACCTTCTTTTCCTTTTTCTTAAAACTATGTTCTTGTTATTGGGTTGGCATCAGAGACAAGGACTAAGCTTTTGGTAACAAAGAGACTCATAAGGCAAGGTGTGTGGGAAGGGGTTCCGAGTTTCCATGCCCTCTCCAGGCACACCACCCTCCAGGAGTCTCCATGTGTTTATCTGGAAACTTCCTGAACCCTGTCATTTGTTTTTTTTTTTTTTTGGTACTGGGAATTGAACTCAGGGGAACTCAGCCACTGAGCCACATCCCCAGCTCTATTTTGTGTTTTATTTAGACACAGGGTCTCACTGAGTTGCTTAGTGCCTCGCTTTTTGCTGACACTGGCTTTGAATTCGTGATCCTCCCATCTCAGCCTCCTGAGCCGCTGGGATTACAGGCCTGCGCCACTG